ATATATAAGCAAATTTAAAAAAACACATATATTCTTATTGTTGTGTGCTGTCGACTCAACTCTGCCTCATAGTGACCCTATACGACAGAGTAAAACTGCCCCCATAGGGTTTCCTAAGCTGTGATCTTGACGGGAGCAGATCACCAGGTCTTTTCTGCCATGGAGCTGCTGGTGGGTTTGAATTGCCACTTTTTGGTTAGCAGGTGAGTACTTAACCATTGCTGCACCAGGGCTCCTTTAAAATACTAATATATATATAATATACATATATATATAAGGGAGCACTGGTTGCGTAGTGCCTAAGGCACTTGACTGCTAACCAGAAGGCTGGCGGTTCAAACCCAACAGCCACTCCTCGGAAGGAAGGTTGGGCAATCTACTTCCACAGTGATACTGCCTCGGAAACCCAAGGAGGAGTCACTATGAGTCGGGTCCGACTCGATGGCACATAACAACAACAACAACATACATATATAAAAGGTATTTTTTAGCATAGGAAATTGTATAAAAAATGATCTATAATATACAGCTATGTGCACCTTGGTAGTGCTTGTGTAATACAAACAAAAATTTATTGATTTCTAGATAACAAATTTTTTATGTTCTCTAATAGCTAATATTAAATCATTCAGAGGCATTTTCAAAATGGTACTATGATTAACATTATGTATAACTTAAGATTGTTTATATGTTTTGTGGTTAAAAAAAAAAAAGCCTAATGTTCCATTCTCTTGACCAATATTTTTAAAATCAGTAGCATGTCTGGTTGTGTAGTGGATAAGGGACTTGACTGCTAACTGGAACATCACTGGTTCAAACTCACCAGCTGCTCCGTGGAAGGAACACTGGATGATTTACAGCCTCAGAAACCTAGTGGGGGTCACTATGAGTCGGAAACGACTCAATGGCAGTGAGCTAGGTTGTTTTTTCTTTTTTTTCAGCATGTTTAAATCAGTGATAATTTTTATTTTATTGAAATAATTAGCTAACACCATCATAACCTTTATGAACAGGTAGCAAAACAATTGAAAATATAAACAGAGTATATATTTATTACACTCAGCAATCTCTGCCATTGCTCACAATGCTTTCTCTCTACCTGAAATATCTCTCTCCTGATGAAAATCAAGACAAATGCACATATGTCATTTTCTCATGAAGCTTTTTCCCTGATTGCATGTGAGAATTAATCTCTCTTCATTCTACCTCATAACATTTTGTTTGTATTTCCATTAGAATACTTATTATATTCTTCATATATAGTTGAGTACATGTCTATTATGTCTGTTTTTCCCACAAAAAAGGGATAATGTTTTATTTACGTTTTATTTGTGGTATGCAGAAGTGTCCTAAAAATAGGAGGAGCTCAATAAGTCTTTGTTGAATTGATTTAAAATAGTTTTTTTCCCTATCTACTCTACAAAGAGAAATGTAATATGCAAAAAGGTAAAAAAGTAACTATGTACTTTGGTACTTTTATATGTCACTAAAGATTATATTTAATTTTTCAAGCCTCCCTTTTTTTCTGCCCAACCACATGAGACTATCCTAGGAAGCAATTCTTCTGTATTCCCTTCCACAGGAAATCGAAACAAAGTATTATGGAAATTCTTATCTAGGAAATGAATTTCCATTTTATCTTTTCTCTGTTCTAGGAGCCTTGGTAGTACAGTGGTCAAAGCGCTCGCTTGCAAACTGAAAGGTCAGTAGTTCAAACCCACCAGCCACTCCACGAGAGAAAAATGTGGCAGTCTGGTTCCATAAAAATTACAGCCTTGGAAACCCTATGGGGACTTCTGTGTCATATGGGGTTGGACAACACCCTAACAATATAATATTTAATAATAAGGAAGTAAACCATGAGTCATTTTTCAAGTCAATAACCTCATCACAAATTTGTTGGTTTGGTATTTAAAACTATAATGATTTTAAGTGCTTTTATCAAGGTAATATATGCACAGTATTTAAAAATCAGTAAGTGCTAGAAGTCACTTATCAAAAATCAGCAGTCACCATCCTGCCCCTTACCAAAACTACCAACACCCAGTTCAGCTTCCCAGTGGATTTAATTCAGTTTCTTCAATTAATTTAACTGTTTCTTCCAGGTTTCTAAAATATTTTATTGCCATTTTTTTTTCTTACCAATTTTACATGATATCTATAGATTTAATAACTATTATCATGGTAGTCAAGGTTTTAGATCTTTGGCACCATCATCACCCATTTCTACACTCCCATTCTCATGTATAGTGACAAAGGTGGTTAAACCAGTACTTGGTGATTACATTATTATGAGAATATGATTCATTGTTTCCTTTTCCATATTTGATTTCCCCTATAGCTGTTAAGGGGGAGCTCTGGTAGCATAGTGGCTAAGGCACTTGACTGCTAACCATAAGGCTGGTGGTTCAAACCCACCAGCCACTCCTCGGAAGGAAGGTTGGGCAATCCTACTTCCGTAGTGATACTGCCTCAGAAACCCAAGGAGGGGTCGCTATGAGTCAGGGCTGACTCGACGGCACATAACAACAACACAACAACAACATAGCTGTTAATGATTCAAAATAAGTTTAATATGCTGCACTATATCATAAACTTAGTATGTCATCATTAGACAATGTGGTGTAGTAGCTTCCCTCTGCCAAGACTGAAATTAGTTGTGATTTTGGAAAACTAACTTTACCTGAGTCTGTTTTCTCTAAAATGAGTAGTATCTGCCTTGTCCTTCTTACAAGGTTCTTATGAGAAGCAAAGTAAGAATAAGATAGTAAATGTGAAAGTCCTTTATAAACTTTAAATATGAATGAAATATAAGGCAAAGTAATTATTAGACCAAAGTTTTTATCATTTCTGACAGTGAAACAGGATTCTAGTCTTGATTCCTCTGACAGATCTACTTTGGGCAACTCTTTCATAACTGAGCTGTTTTTTAATTCATAATACACACATATCAACGGTTATGAAAATTACTATGCTTACACTGCTTAAACAATTTATTTTAATATATAACCAAGTATGTAAAACAAGCTTATACTACTAGCCAAGCTCCTGAGTACCTGCCAACTCTGATTTTATGAATTTGTTTCAAACATCAATTGCCCCCACAGACATAAAACAGTAGTGATAGCTAACCGAGAGACTGCGAAAGCAATTTGTTTCCTGAAGACACCGGGCACTATAAAGTGGGAATGCAATTATGTGTCAGATTCACTAACAAAATTTAAAAATAATCAAATTAGTATGATGAATCAAATGGCCGATGAGAACATTTACGTCCTTGCAGGTAAAGCTCTCTATATTAGGAAGTCTTTGCACACGCAAAAACTTTACTTTCCCATGATGATATCTGGCTTTTCTGGGCTGAGGCGTGGCACCGGAGCCTTCCCTCGCATGGGGTTCCCGGCATGCTTTGCGCTGCTCTCGGTGGGAAAGCTTACCTCCACCGAGGGTTACTGTAAGGTTACTGTAGGGCTGTCGAGGCCGACCGTTGAAAGAAGGCGCATGCGCCCCGGGTAAAGCGCGCGCTGCCTCGAGCCGCTTTCCTTGTCGCTGGAGTCAGGTTCTTAGACGTTCCGTAATATATATATTGTATACACATATTATTCTTTGCCTTTAAATCTCTTTTTCTGTCACTACTCCCTTACATTTAAGCTTTTAAATGTCTCAATGACAAAATATTTGGGGTAAAATGTGTAACTACTTCTTTTTCTCAAGAGGTGCAGTGGATTAGGTTAACGCTGGCGTCTAGTCTAGATAGCAGTAGAATAATTCTATACGTTTAAATTAAGTAGACTTCTCTGTGAAGTTTAACTCTTCTGTGACGCTTTCTAGTTAAATTGCTTCACTAAGAAAAATGAAATTGAGCTAAAAAAGGAAATTGAAAATTACATCAAATTACTGTTCCCTTTGCTGTGGAGTCAATTCCAGTGCATAGCAACCAAAATACCAAATTATAATCGAGAAATCAGAATAGTCACAAAATCTGTAAGTTTGTTGCCCCTTTATAGCTGTTACACAGTACGAAAATACGTTGTATCCTAAAGTACAGTGAAGGAAAGTTACCTCATTTGGTTATTTGAAACTACAAATTTAAAAAAAGAATTATTAAAGGAATTTAGCAGGGCAGTTTTTCATAACCAAATACCTACTGATGAAATGTTGTCAATGCTTAAATACTTGTAAAGTTAAGAAAGCTTAAGGTTGTGTCTTTTAAAAAGGCACTGTGAGTTTTACTGCTAAAAAGAGTAAAATAAACTGAGTTTATTGCTAAAAAGAAACAAAAATTTTTTATTGTGGTTTGGGTGAAAAATTACAGAGCAAATTATTTTCTTGTTCAACAATTTATACACATTTTGTTTCATAATATTAGTTGCAGTCCCCTCAATTAACAGCACTCTTTCGACTTACTCCCTGGTTTCCAATTTCCAGCTCTGGTAGCATAGTGGCTAAGACACTTGCCTGCTAACCAGACGGCTGGCGGTTCAAACCCACCAGCCACTCCTCAGAAGGAAAGTTGGGCAATCCTACTTCCGTAGTGATACTGCCTCGGAAACCCAAGGAGGGGTCACTATGAGTCGGGGCCGACTCGACGGCACACAACAACAACATCTTTCCTGCCCCTTCCTGCCTTCTGACTTTCTTTTTGGGCAAATGTTGCCCTTTTAGTCTCAAGTGGTTGATTATTCTGAGAAGTACCTTCCTTACTGGTGTTATTGCTCACTTTATAGCCTGTTGAATGAAAATTTTATTCATAATAAACATTTATGTGAGGCAAGCAAATGGCTTACAATTAGGACATTACTTGAAGTAATTGTATGGCAATATGAACTTACACTTTTTTAAAGATTCTAAGTAAAGAAATTTTCTAAAAATTTATTTGCATAATATTCTTTCTGACTTGTAATAAACTAGGGTGTTAGGGATACAAGTAAGTTCTGAAGTTAATAAAAGCTTGTATTTGTGTCACAAGGTTAAATTCAAGAAAATATTCTCAGAAGAAGATGGCTACTACACAGTTACAGAGACCTTCCATGGTATGATTCCTTGCATTTTAATACATCAATTTAGCTAATTTTATTCTTTCTCTTTTTTCTAATTTTTTTTTTTCTTGAAGTTTCAACTATTTTATTTTTATATTTCAAAGTTAGAGTCAACTGTTTGAGGATTTAATGATATCAGGAAACTCCATGCTTTAAGAAATGAAGATATTTGCTAAACTATTTTGAATTAATGAAGAATTATATTGGATGTTTGATGCATTGGTTCAAATTTTATTTACATTTGTTGCTGTTGTTGTTGGGTGCCCTCGAGTAATTAAATCAGATTCTATTACTTTAATGAAATTATTGTTCAGAGCAGTCCACTCTTACAAAAATGAATATCCATGCCCCAGAGACAAAGATAAAATTGTCATCTTCACACAGAATCTTGCATGACAGTTACCTGTGTTAAACAGATTCAGTGGCTTAACAGGAAATAAGTGTTTTTTGATGTATTGTGTTATTTACAGATAACCTGTAAGGCAATTCTTAAGTTCTCAAGCACTTTTTGCTTGTTACTTGTAAGCTGCTACCCTAGCAACACCCTCACATCTTAGAAGCCATGCCTACTTCCTAGAGCTTTCTAATTACCATGGGCAGGGATTCTTTTGGAGAGTACCATGCTTATACAAAATTGAACCTACTTTTAAGTTCATGGAAACTTTTCTAATAAATCTCAGTAAAATATTTTCATTTCCCTTGAATTTTAGAGTGCATTGGTATTTCCCAATAAAATATCAACTGAGCAGCAGTCTTTGGTATTATTAAAGAGGCTTCTAGCAGTGTCAGTATCCTGTATCACATATTTGAGAGGAATATTTCCAGAATGTGCTTATGGAACAAGATATCTGGATGGTAATATAATACTTATTTTAAAACTTCCTTTAAAAATGTTTTCTTTTTGCTTACTCTAAAACTATAATTTCTGAATTAGAGATTTTGAGTCTGTTTTTTAATAATAGCTTTAAACTGTACACCAATTGCCGTCAGTTGATTCCAGCCCACAGTGACCCCTATAAGGCGAGTAGAATTGCCCCAAAGGGTTTCCAAGGCTGTAAATATTTATAGAAGCAGACTGACACATCCTTTTTTCTTTTCATTGTCATCATATTTCTTTTTTAACTTTTTATTGTGATTTGGGTGAAAGTTTATGGAGCAAATTGGTTTTTCATACAACAAATTCATATACATTTTGTTTTGTGACATCGATGGCAATCCCCACAATATAACCGTACCCTGCTTCTTCCCTGTGTTTACCGTTTCCATTTGTCCTCCTTTCCTATCCCTTCCTGCCTTCGGAGCTTTATCCCTGGACAAATGCTGCTCTTTTGATCTCTTATGTTTGATTGTTCTATGAGGTGGGTACCTCCCTGGTATTAATGTTCACCTTATAGGTCTGTCTATCATTTGGCTGAAAGTTGAGCCATGGGGGAAGTTCTGTTCTAGTCTCTGCCACATCTTTCTGAGCAGCAGCTCATTTGGTTGGTGGTTCAAACCACTGACCTTTTGGTTAGCAGCCGAATGCTTTAATACTGCACCACCGGGCCTCCTAATAATAGTAATTGAGATATAATTCACGTACTATTGTATAATACACCCATTTAAAGTGTACCAATAAATGTTTTTTTAAAATATATTCACAGAGTTGTGCAATTTTAGAACATTTTTATCGCTCCAAAAAGAAATCCCATACCAATTAAATCACATCCCACTTATCCCAACCCCACTAGTCTGAGGCAGCCACCAATCTACTTTCTGTCTGTATGGATTTACCTATTCTGAACATTTCCTATAAATGGGATCATATAATATACGACCTTTGTGACTGGCTTCTTTCACTTAGCATAATGTATTCAAAGTTCATCCATACTGTAGCATGTATCAGTATTTCATTTCTTTTCTTTGCTGAATAATATTCCATTGTATGGATATACTACATTTTATTTATCCACTCATCAGTTGATTAACAGTTGGGTTATTTCTACTTTTGGGCTGTTATGAATATTATCACATTTGTGTACAAATTTTCATGTATACATACATATGAGTGGTTTTGTAAACAGTATATTCAATAAATATACTTTGTAATCAATTATAAAATTTTCCCTCAGTTTCTCAATTATGATTTCACCTGGCATTACTCTTATACCTACTCCTCACTTACCAGGGAGCTCTGGTGGCGTAGTGCCTAAGGCATTTGACTGCTAACCAGGAGACTGGTGGTTCAAACTCACCAGCCACTGCTCAGAAGGAAGGTTGGGCAATCTACTTCCGTAGAGATACTGCCTTGGAAACCCAAGGAGGGGTCGCTATGAGTTGGATCTGACTCGACGGTAATGAATTGAGTTGAGTTCACTTACCAACTATCTCACTATCTGTCACATTTACAATAGTAAAAAATAACTATCTGACTCTATTGTGTTTTAGCATCTTGCAGTGAACACCTATGTGTGAGGCAAGAGTAATGCTGGCTGTGATGGTTAAGATTATGTGTTAACTTGGCTGGGCCATGATTCTTAGTGGTTTGGCAGTTACGTAATGATGTAATTTGACAGATTATATAATAATGTACTCATCCTCTATTTTGTGATCTGATGTGGTAATCTTTCATTTTCTTATAACATAGATTTTCACATAATGGCCTTGTCTTTGGAACCTAACCATGTAGATACGTGAGGAGTAGATTCAATGCTGAAGTAAATAAATAAAACAGTCTACTACTTAGAACTTTGTACAGTGATAGTATTTCTTGTGCTATTTAAGGGAGTAAAAATAATACATCCAGTTTATACTACAATAATCCATATGTTTGTTGACCAGCTATGAGCATTATGTTAAGCATTTTATTCATGATATCATGTTAGTTCATATCACAGTCCTATGAATTAGATGCTCTCAGTCCTTTCCTCTGTGTAATAGTTCATTCTTTGCAGTGCTCTTTGTCTTTGAGAGCCAGCTATTTCTTGGTGCTTTAAAAATATTTTACTAGGATAAGGGTCCATAACAAGTATTATAAGACTTTGGGATAATGATGGCATGAAAGCATTGTATCTAATTTTAGGTATTCTATAGCTTTTAAAAATAATATTTTTCTGTACATCAACATGCATCTTAATCATTATACCATTTTATAAGAATAAAATAAATTTATTTCCATACATCCTTTCTTCCTTTGATTATATGACTAATTGCAATCATTGAGAAATTCATTGCCATTAATAATATAATATACAGCTGAAATAAATAATCTTCATTTAAAATTTCTAGTTGTTACTCTTTTAAGTTCAGTTCTTAAGATGATCTTTATATTATCATGTTTGTGTTTAGATCTTTGTGTCAAAATTCTGAAAGAAGATAAAAATTGTCCAGGATCTACACAGTTAGTAAAGTGGTAAGTAAAAGAACACCTACATATAGAAAAAAAATTTTTTTACTTATATTTTTTGTACCTTGGATATCTTTCAGTGTTTAATGCAATTTTAGTGATTCCTCCTTTAACACTGAACAGTGATATTGCAGAACTTTGAATTTTTGCATTAAAATTTTCCTTTTTTTATGCCCATGTGAGCACAGTGTTTTCAAGTGCCATTTTCCTATTATTGTTCCCTACAAATAACTGTCAGATATTTTATATTTCTGTATCAATATTTTATATTTCTACCACATTGTGTTTTGTGTGTTTTAATCTAATTAATAGGACAAGAACTTTAGTAAGAAATTTTTTATTACTTAGTAATGAAGTAATATGGATATTTGTGAAAATAACTTTAATTTCTGGAAATGTATTTAGTCTAAAAAAGAATCTTTTTTTTTTTTAGGATGTTAGGTTGCTATGATGCTTTACAGAAAAAATATGTAAGTTCTTTTTTTTTTTACTGTTTACATTATACATTTCTAACAGCAGTTACTTTGTAGTAAAACATTAACTTGGGCAGAGGCTAGTCTAAGTTACTAAAATGTCTAAACATGTGAATATTTTTAAAAACTAATATTAACTCATGTACAGCTAATGGAATTAATACTAAATAAATTTTGCCAAGCCAGTTTCAGTTGTTTAAGAACACATATTGGGTTACAAAAATTAATGATTTTAAACGTCTTTTATATTATTTATTTACTTAGCTTCACATACCTCTTGTTTATACTATTAATAAATTATTTCTTCATAAGTGTTCAAATATAAATTTCCATTGGTGTTGCTGGTGCAGCAATCAAGTAGACTCTGAGTCATAGCAACCCTGTGTACAACAGAGTGAAACACTACCCAGTTGTACACCAGCCTCACAATCTTTGCTATCCTTGAGCCCATTGATGTAGCCAGTGTCAATCCATCTTGTTGAGGGTCTTCCTCTTTTTCACTGACCTTTTACTTTACCAAGAATGGTCCCTTCTGACCATATGACCGAAGTAGATTAGATGGAGTCTGGCCATTCTTGCTTCCAAGGAGCATTCTGGTTGCACTTTTGTTTTTTTTCCTTTTTTAATTTTGTTGTAATTTAGGTGAAAGTTTACAGAACAAATTCATCTTCCATACAGTAGTTCACGTACACTTTGTCTCATGACATTGACTATTACTGCCCACAATGCAACAACTTCCCTCCCACTTCCTCCCCATGGCCACTTCTTTGCTGTATCCATCCCTCCCATGCACTCCTACCTGCCCCCAGCTGTCTCCCTATGCATACACAGCCTTTCTATTCTCCCATGATTGATCTCTCCAAGGACTTTATCTACCTAATGTAAATGTTCAGCTCCTGTGCTTGTCTTTTGTTTTGCTAGAAGCCACAGGAGTGGGTTCCATTCCAGACCTGAACAATAGCTAGGGGCCATAGTCTTAGGGGTTCCACGAGGCTCTATCAGACCAGCAAACCTGGTCCCTTTTTTCTTTTTTTCCCCAAATGATTTTGAGTTTTGTTACACATTGTTCTCCCACTCTATCCAGGATCTCCTACATAGATCCTCCTCTGAGTGGTTGATGGTGGTAGCCAGGTACCATCTAGTTCTTCTGGTCTCATAGTTGTATAGGCTGAGGATCACATGGTGTATCAGTCCCTTGGACTAATTGTATCCATGGATCTTTAGTTTTCTTCATTCTTCTTTGCTTTGGATGAGGAGAGACCCATTGTTGCATCTAGATGTCCTCCTGCAAGCTTTTAAGATCCCAGTCGCTACTCACCAAAGTAGGATATGGATTAATGTTTTTGTGTAGTATGTTATGCCAGTTGACCTTGATGTCCCCTGTGACCATGGTCCCGAGCCCACAGGTCAACTACTCGCTCCCTCTGGGTAGCTGGTTGTGGCTAAGAATGACTACAACCTTGTCCCTTGTCAGCTCTACTATATACCTGGAAATTCTTACAGAACATACAAATACACTTGTTGAAACATTGTCTGCCAACCCTATACATGGTCATGGGCACACTACTCCCTGCACAGACATACCTAATCGTTCAGCTTGTCCACCCATCTATCCACCTATATATCAATGTTTGCCATCATTGACAATACAGTACTGTATGGGCAAAAAGGTTCATCTTTGTTGTCTGTACCTCCCATGCACCTCTCTATGTCTTTCTCTTCCTCAGTGCCACAGTGTTGATCAATCACATTTGGTACATTGCCCTTCTCTTCACCCAAATCAATAATTGTCTCTACCTATCTAGCAGTGTTCCTTCCCCTCCCTTCCCCTCCCACTCCTGGTAACCAACAAAGAAAATTTCCTTCCATGTATAAACCTTTCCTTGACTTTTTACAATAATGGACTGAAACAATATTTGTCTATACTGGTTACCTAGTGCCACTCTGACAAGAAATATACCACAAATGGGATGGCCTTAACAAACAGGAGTTTATTCTTATAATTTGGAGGCTTTTGGTCCAAGTTCAAAGTGACAGGCTCTAGGGGCTGGGTGAAAGCCCCTCAACCTTGGGGTCCAGCTCTGCCTCCTGCTCCTGGCCCACTGGAGCTACAGGTGTTTCTTCACTCAGACAGCTGCTGGCTGCTGAGGCTGAGAAGCCCCAAGGTTAACAAGTAAAAGGGCACACACAGCAGACCATTACTTAAGTCCATTGTAAGTCCCAAAGTCGAAAGAGCATAGCAGGCTCCTGAGCAATGACACGGCTACATGCAGGGTCCAAGCATGCCATAGGCTAGAGACCATTCCCAAGGCTTCTCCTTATATACAGGAAGCAGACCACATCCCAAAGGCAGCTACTCAGCTGCTTGTGGTAGATTCCACCATGGAGTTGATTGCCAGTCTCATCATGGGGAATAACTACCACCAGCTGCCCAGCCACTCAACCAGGCCCAGCCAAGTTGACAAACATAACCACAACATTGTCCATCTGTGGTTGATTTATTTCACTCCAAGTTCATCCATGTTTATGTGGTGTTTTGCAGATTCTACATTAATCTTTAAGGTTGCATAGTATTCCATTGTGTGTATGTATCATAGTTTGGTTATCCCTTCTTCTGTTGATGGGCACCTAGGTTGTTTCCATCTTTTTGCTCTTGTAAGTAGTTCTGCTATCAACATAGGTGTTGGCTGTACTTCTTCCAGGACAAATTTGTTCATTCTTCTGGCAGTCCATGGTATTTTCAGTGTTCTTCACCAACACCATAATTCAAAGGCATCAGTTTTTCTTTGGTCTTCCTTATTCATTGTCCAACTTTCATATGCATATGAGGCAACTGAAAATACCATGGCTTGGGTTAGGCACACCTTAGCCTTCATAGTGACATCTTTCCTTCTTAACATTTTAAAGAGATCTTTTACAACAGATTTTCCCAGTGCAACATGACGTCTGATTTCTTGACTGCTGCTTCCATGGGTGTTGATTGTGGATCCAAGTAAAATGAATATTTGACAACTTTAATCTTTTCTCTATTTATCATGATGTTGCTTGTTCGCCCAGTTGTGGAGATTTTTGTTTTCTTTATGTTGAGGTGTAATCCATAATGAAGACTGTGGTCTTTGATCTTCATCAGTTAATGCTTTAAGTCATCTTCATTTTCAGCAAGCAAGGTTTTGTCATCTGCATATTGCAGTTTGTTAATGAGTCTTCCTCCAATCCTAAGGCTGCGTTCTTCTTCATATAGTCCAGTTTCTCAGTTTATTTGCTCAGAGCACAGACTGAATAAGTGTGGTGAAAGGATAAACCTTGACACCACTTCCTGATTTTAAATGATGCACTATTGTTCTGGGTTACCTAGTGCCACTCTGACAAGAATATACACCACAAATGGGACGGCTTTAACAAACAGGAGTTTATTCTTCTAATTTTTGGAGGCTAGAAGTCCAGGTTCCAAGTGCCAGGCTCTAGGGGCTGGATGAAAGCTGAGACAGTGCAGGAAGACTAGCCCCTTAGGTCAGAAGGCACTCAAAATACAAGTGGGAAAGAGCTGCATCATCAGAGTAGAATCAACCTTAATGATATGGATAAAGTAAAGCTTTAGGGACCTCCATTTGCTGACGTGGCACAACTCAATTTGAGGAGAAACAGCTGTAAACATCCATTAATAATCACAACATGGAATGTATGAAGTATGAATCTAGGAAAATTGGAAGTTGTCAGAAATTAAATGGAGTACATAAAGATTGATAACCTAGGCATTAGTGAGCTGAAATGGACTGGTTTTGGCCAGTTTGAATTAGACAACCATATGATCTGCTATGCTGGGAATGGTGTGGCATTCATCATCACAAAGGATGTTTCAAGCTCTGTCCTGAAGTACAATGCTATCAGTGATAGGATAATATCCATACACCTACAAGGAAGACCAATTAATACTACTATTATTCAAATTTATGCACCAACCACCAAAGCCAAAGATGAAGAAATTAAAGATTTTTATCCACTTCTGCACACTGAAATTGACCGAACACACAATCAAGATGTGTTAATTATCACTGGTGACTAGAATGCAAAAGTGGAAACAAAGAAGAATTACCAGTAGTTGGAAATTTTGACATTGGTAACAGACATAATGCTGGAGACCACATGATAGAATTTTGCAAGACCAATGGCTTATTCATTGCAAATACCTTTTTTCAACAACACAAACAGCAGCTATACACCTGGATATCACCACATGGAGTACACAGGAATCAGAATGACTACATCTATGGCAAGAGGCAATGGAAAAGCTCTATCTTCAGCCAAAACAAGGCCAGGAGCTGATTGTGGAAGAGACCATCAGCTGCTCATATGCAAGTTCAACTTGAAGTTGAAGACAATTAAAACAAGTCCACGAGAGCCACAATATGACCTTGAATATATCCCTCCTGAATTTAGAGACCCATCTAAAGAACAGATTTGACGCACTGAAGACCAATAACCTAAAACCAGAAGAATTATGGGATGACATCAAGAACATCATCCATGAAGAAAGAAAGAGGTCATTAAAAAGATAAGAAAGGAAGAAAAAACAAAGTGGATGTCAGAAGAGGCTCTGAAAATTGCCCATGAGCAGAGAGTAGCTAAAGCAAATGGAAGAAATGACCAGATAAAAGAGCTGAACAGAAGATTTCAAAGAGCAGCTCAAGAAGACTATAATTACTATAATGAAATGTGCAAAGACCTGGAGTTAGAAAACCAAAAGGGAAGAACACGCTCAGCATTTCTCAAGCTGAAAGAACTGAGGAAAAAATTCAAGCGCAAGTTGCAATATTGAAAGATTCTATGGGCAAAATATTGAATGATGTGTTGTTGTTGTTGTTGTTATGTGATGTCAAGTTGGACCCAACTTATAGCGACCTCTCCTTGGGTTTCCGAGGCAGTATCACTACAGAAGTAGATTGCCCAACCTTCCTTCCAAGGAGTGTCTGGTGGGTTTGAACCACCAGCCTTCTGGT